CCTGGCCGCCCCTCTGCACTGTAAGCCCAAACAAGGAGTGCAGAGATCAAGAGATCCAGCCAAGGGGCCCATGATCACTCTGAACGAACTGCAAAGATCCACAGCTGAGGTGTGGGAATCTTACTCCCCACAAATTTGTCTTTTTGGAAGAAAGACATATCTCAAAGATTATCTTTAAAACTCATGTTTTAAGTGTTAAGCCACCTGGGAGACACACCAAACGTGTAAGACGCTGCTCTCATCAGATGAAACCAAAAGTGAGCTTTTTGGGCTGAATGCAAAACATTACGTTTGGTGTAAAAGTAACACTAATATACAGTAGTTCCACTGCACGATTGTGTCCCACTTCAGTGTTGATTCTTCACAAAAAACAAACACACCAAAAAAAAATCTAATCTTATGTCTTCATGTTTGCAGTTTGAAATGTGGCAAAAGGTCAAAAAGTCCAAGGGGGCAGGACACTTTTGCAAGCCACTGTATGCTTGAAAGTGTTAATTTCACTCTGCCAAAGAACAAGATTTTTTTTTTTTTTTTGAAGTTGGCATTTTTAGTACATAATTACAGTACTGCGTTGTGAAAATATGAGCCACGCCACAGTGGCTGTTCATAGATTGTAGCAGCATCGGCCTACGTTTATGAACTCCCAAATAAGGTCACGGTGGGTTCACGTTTAAGGGAAGGAGACTTGCCTATAAGTGTTGTTAATTGACACAAACACAATCTCATGAAAAGGTTGCCACAAATACTGCTTAGGTCACAGTAGCCCAGAAAAAAACATAAGTAGTAAGCTTTAGGAAATAGGGTTACTTACTGAGTTCTCAGAAGTTTCTGTTCTACGACATAATAACAATGCTAACGAGACGCAAGCAGACGGTTTTATTTTCACAGTATGCAGCAGATGTACAGCTATACCTTCATAATAATACCTTGGAAGAAAACTGTTGATTCATTCCATGCTGTGGGATCAGTGGGCGTCCATTCTTTGCGCCAGTTATAACAGGAAAAGGAAAAAAATATAAAAAGCCTAAAGGAGAAGCTGACCAAGAACTAAGGCGAGGTCATATCCTCCCAGCACTCCCTCTTCAAGACATAAGCTTTTAATCAAAAGATCCCCCGGACTTCAATGGAACGGCAGCATTCCTCAACATCCCTCTCATGACGGGGCTCTCAGATCAGCCGCCTGCTATTGTGGCTGGCAATAGAGGATAACCTAAGAGAGGTCATGATCCGGGTTTGAGACTGACCCTGGACTCCCCCCAAGGAGGGCCACAATGCTGGTCTTCATAGGCCACATCCCTCAGGCAAGATTATCGTAATTCTTCTCTCCTTTGTAGGGGCTCGCAATGTTCTGCAGTTGCCGCAGGATGGCCTCGAGTTACGGAGGGGCATTAGCCCCGCCCCCGCCCCAACTCAGAAACCGGTCGCATCCCTCTGATCTTGTTCTTCATACAGCTCAATAGAGGAAATCTTTGATGAAAAGAAATTTAGCCAAGCCAAGGGAGAAAGTCACAGAAAGCTTAGTGTGCGATTCACTTGATTATGATGACCTGCCCTCTGTGGTCAAAGAGCAGGACATGACACACTCCATTCTAATAGTATGGCTTACAGGACAGCCGGAATTGTATGGACAAAATGTTTTCATGTGTACATTCTGATTTGAACAATTAATCGACTTTACTCAGTGTGTTCTTAATCTTGACTTGTACTACTAATACTCAAGAACTAATAGGCGGCTTTTTGTCTTTCCATATCCCATTTGCTTCATTGTTGCGTCAATTGAGGATGTCAATCTTTCATTGAGTTGATCCTGTGCCTCTGCATGCATTGTTTTGTTTTGGACTTGATTCGGTTTCCGGGGCATTTGACTTGTACTTGTCTCAGACGGGGCCATTGGACTCGCAAAATATTTTTAGCACTTAACTGACTACAACGATATTTTTATTGCAGGACAGGATTAATTAACTTGACCGCAAGGAAATTGGGGACTCAGAGTCTCATTCGAAAATGGAATAAATTATTTTTTCCCTCAAAATTCTACACATAACATCCCATAATGATATTGTTTTTTTTTTTATTTTGCAAATGTATTGTTATCATTATTATTATTTAAAAAAATACATGTACAAAACTTTTCATCGCCTTTGCCACCAAATTCAAAATTGAACTCGGGTGCATCATGTTTCCACTGATCATCCTTGAGAGGTTCCTAAAGTTTGATTGGAGTCTACCTGTGGTAAATTCAGTTGATTGGACATGCTTTGGAAAGGCACACACCTGGTCTATATAAGGTCCCACAAGTGACAGTGCAGGTCAGGACAAACCAAGCATGAAATCAAAATAATTGTCTGTAGACTTCTGAGACAGGATTGTCTTGTGGCACAAATGTGAGGAAGGGTATCGAAAAATATCTTCTGTTTGAAGGTTATGAGCACAGTGGCCTCCTTCATCCATAAATGGAAGACGTTCAGAAACAGCAGGGCTCTTCGCAAAGCTGGCTGCACGTCTAAACTGAGCAATCCGGGGAGAAGACCCTTAGTTAGGAAGGTGACCAAGAACCCGATGGTCACTCTGTCAGAGCTCTAGCAGTCCTCTGTGGAGAGAGAACATTCTGGAAGGACAACCATCTCTCCAGCACTCCACCAATCAGGCCTCTATGAGAATGGCCAGACGGAAGCCAATCCAGGGGCGTTGCTCGGCATAAAGCTCTACTGATGTACTGGACCCCTACTATATTGGTTCGGAACCTCCGGTCTGTGGCCTGAAACCTGTCTGCAGACCACTCGGTACTGGGTTGCAGTGGGGTATCAGTTCGGTCTGTGGCAGGAGACCACTGATATACTATTTCCCCCACCGGTTGCCAGCCATGAACCTGCCATGCCTGTTTATGGAATGTGGGAGGAAACCGAAGTACTCGGAGAAAACCCACGCAGGCACCGGGAGAATATGCAAACTCCACACAGGAAGGCCGGAGCCGGAATCGAAACCTGCACCTGACACTCTAAATTGTCCCTAGGTGTGAGTGTGAGCGCGGATGGTTGTTCGTCTCCATGTGCCCTGTGATTGGCTGGCAACCCGTTCGGTGTGTACAGTAGTGCAGTAGCCGGGTACTGCCCGAAGACAGCTGGGATAGGCCTCGCGTGCCACTGTGTGCATGTTATTAGAATTATATGTTTTTGTATTAGTGTACATGGCACTCTAAGCATCCTATGAATTTCACGATCACAAAAAAAGTATTTAAAAAAAACAAAAAGAACAATCAAGAAAAAAGTAGGTCACCTTTAACCTACGGTGGCGCATGACCTGCATCATAGGAAGCTGTTTAGGGTCAGCAGTCTGCAGTTGCTGCTAACGATCAAAGCTCTTGAGATATATCGATTATTGATTATTCCCATTCAAGGTTTGTTTGATCTGCATTTCATTGATGGCATTGTCAAAGAATGGGAATCTGGAGCGCCAGAAGCAGCATTTTAAAATGCTACATGTGAGCAATGATCATGTTGTTTCTGCACTTAATATGCCACAAAATTGGGTGCCTGCCTCCCTGTGTCAGGTATCCCACCAAGGTCGGCAGTGATTTCCTTTTTACAGGAGCCCCAGTCTTGTCTCGTACCATGTTGATTGTATTTCGTTCATGGTAGGGTCCGTTATGGGTGTTGCTTATCGTGCCATACGTGTATGCATGCGCGTGTGCATGTGTGTGCGTGCACGTGTGTTACTGGTACTTAATGCTGTATTAATGAAGAGATACATGTAGAAATACATATCGTATTTTCACGACCAAAAGGCACACTTAAAAATCTTACATTTTCTCCAAAATGGATGGGGTGCTGAACAATGCAGATTGCCTTGGGTATGCGCCAAGTTCCAAAATCTGTGAATGCAATTTTTGGAACAATTCCAATGCTTCATCTTAACATTTTGTTGAGCATAACCAAAAAATTCCTGGAGATCTATGTAATACCTTTCTATGTAATACATTTCTATCTCAAACAAAATAGTACCAGTTTGGACAGGCCAAGCTGAGAGAAAAAAACGAGGTAGGTATCAATTATAGCATTTTACTTTTACTGACACTAAATTCCTTTTCAACATGTCAGTACACCCGTTTCCGAGCTACTCTTGAATGTGTTTATGTCAATGTTTATGTGTTCTGTTGTATCACTGTTATTTCATGTTAAATGTTCTTTTTTCCAACTGCAACTGTTGTGAAAGCGCAATAGAAATATAGATGCATTGCATTGTATTGTATAGCGCGTGACACACATGGCAGCAGAGACATGCCGGGAACAAAATTTGTCATTGACGGCAGCCGTCATTTGGACCGGGAAATACCCCAGCAATTTGGGATAATTAACAATTCTCCTGAAATTCCCAATCAAGGTTGCCTCTTATTTTTCATGTGTCTGAGCATTCACACAAACTCCCTCAGGCTTCCTTGGACCACCATGAGCTTCTTCTTCTTCTCCTTTCGGCACGTCCCTATTCAGGGGTCGCCACAGCGAGTCAGTAATTTCCATCCGCCCCTGTAAACCGTCCTACCAACTCGCATGGTCGTCTTGGCAAAAGTTTTACGCCGGATGCCATTCCTGACGCAACCCTCCCCATTTCTCCGGGCTTGGGACCGGCACTGGGGAACAGTGCACCCCCAGGGGAGGGCACTGCCCCCCAGCGGCTGGGTTTATATATATATCTATATATATCTATATAGAT